GGGGGGGGGGGGGGACATCGAAAGACAGTGGTTGTTGGTTGTGAGGGTTTGTTTCGTGTACCGCCGGTGGTTTTGGTCGGTGGTAGCGCAGTCCATGCTGATACTTAAACCCCACGTCGGCTTCGGCGAACGGCAATGTGAAAGAGGCCAAGAAGCGCTCGTCCTCGGCAGACAGACGTTTAGGGAGATTGTTTGCATACCCTTTCACGAAGAAGGGAAAGTGATAACCCTGCAAATATATGCATCGCCCCCCCCCTCCACCTAGCAGAAGACAGCCCTACCGGTACGGGGACGATGTCGCCTCTCCCCGGACACCAGCGCTCCATCGGCAAGTCGTCCTCTCTCGGCGACATAGAGAGCTATTTCGGCACGTCCTTGGGGTCCCCCAAGGGCAGCGACATCGACAGCAGCAGCGCGGACGGTGGCGGCGGCGGATCGAGCGGAGTTCCCAGGCGCCGCGCGGACACCGGCGGCTTGTTCGGCCTATTCAGCGATGACGGCGGCGGCGGTAAGGATGTTCACGAGCGGGGAGGCTTTAGCTGCTGCTCTCCCAAGACGGGCGCGGGGGTGGGGGCCTGTGAACATGGCCGCCTTCGCAACGACGGGTCCGGCTCCCTAACGGTCGCCGAGATCATAGCGAGGCAGCGGCAGAGGTCGCCCCGCCCTACCGCCGGCCCCGGGCCTTCGGGGGACGACCCTCCGCCACCGGCGGTCTCGCGAATGAAGGGGAAGAAGCCTCCTCGGGTGCCGAGGATGAAGCGCATGTCGAGCTCGGATTCGGCGGACGGGGTCGGGGGAGCAAGGGGCAAGGCGGGCAAAAACGTCTGCAAGGTCTCGTAGCTGGGAGGGAAGAGAGACCGCGCGAGGTGGCGGTGCAAGGCGAAGGTGCTTCGCCGCAAAAGGTGCAGGAGATGCAGCAGAGCTGTTCCGGGTGGGGTACGGGGTTTTGGATATTTCACGGGGTTGGGGGGGGGGGGGGGGGGGGGGGGNGGGGGGGGGGGGGGGGGGGGGGGGGGGGGGGGGGGGGGGGGGGGTAACCCCAGCTGTCCGAGAGACCTGAAAAACGGTGTGTTGTTTTCATCAGGGGGAAAAGCCCTCTTGGGCATACGTACCCGGAGTGTTGTTTGGGGCGCTGATGAGCCACCATTCAGCATCCAACGCATGAAGGCCTTCTCATATCGCGCAACGTATCGTACCCAGCTTCAGACGGACTCACGCCGCCGGCTTGGACGGATAGAGAGAGCGAAGTAAGGCTGTGGGTGGGAAAATGAGTTCTCATTGCTGACGAGAACGGCCCCGGGGTGTACAAAGCCGATGCAGAGGTTCTTGGTGGATGATGGTGATATATTTTGAACACCGGGGTGCGCTGTCTTTGTTTTGTGAGCGTGCTTTGACTGTCGGTGTTTTTGTTTTTGCCCTCTTGCCATGGCGCGGGAGGGAGCGGGGGGGGAGCGGGAGGGAGCACGGGAAATGTTGGTTGTCTCGAGGCGTTGTGTACAGGCAAGAGGGTTAAACGGAAGCCATGAATAATGGGAGGAACCAGCAGAGTAAACGGAAGCAACGATGATCTGTGCGTTTTTTTATTTCATTACGATTACGAACGGCTTTACTAGAGGGGCGAGGGAGAGGGAGGGCGCACGAAGGATGAGGAGGCGTTTTTTTTTGGGTACCCCCCCTTCCCTCATACTTGCTTCAGGGGGTGTTTTTTGTCGTGCGCACGCTAACGCTGTGTCGGGAATCCTACGTACACGACGCTTTTAAATGATGCTTATGCCCTCAAAATTCAATCGATCGTCCGAGGCCTGGGGGCGTACCAATACGGGGTGTGCAAGTGGTTTACGCTGGCCTCTTTTGGTTCGGCCGCTATAGACGAGATCGTCATAGACGGCCTTGTGGCTGCTGCTATTGCTGCTGGTGCTGCTTCTTCAGCGCCGCGTAGCTTTAGCTTTGGGGGGGAGGGGGCTCCTGCGTGCTTGCAGGAAGTTTAAAAAGAGTATAAAGGGTCATGGACGAGGCTGATGCTGCCGTGGTGATTTTGCTGCTGCGCATGATTTGTTGTTGCGGCCCATAAATTTGCGCCTCAATCATTTCCAAAAGATGGGGCTCGCGGACGCAGCAGTTTTTGACGTCATTCGACCCGTGTTGATCTGGCGTTGGCGCAGGCAAACGCAGGCAAACGCAGCAGCAAGCACATCGAACCATTATGAAGATTTGTTGAGAAGCCCCCCGCGGCTGTGGGGGTGCCTTTTAGGGGCAAGAGGGTCCGGGTTTCCCAAGCGGAAGGTAGGGCAAATGGAGAAAACGTGTGGCTGTTCCTGCGACGCTTTGCATGCGTCGACGCCCACGTCCAAGGGTAGAAGCAGTGACTTGCCCCCAGCGCGGATAGCAGCGTGTGCGCTGGGCGCGAGAGCTTGGTGGTAGCGTTGAGCACCAGGATATCATGCCCCGCCGTCTCGATGTTCTTCTGATGATGGGATGGGGCGGCGGCGGTGGTGGTGGTAATATGGTTACGTACGTACATTGCAGGCGAAGCGGGCCGCCGGATGGGGCTGGGTATATGGAGAGGGAGGTTTCTTGTTATTGGGGTTGAGGGTTGCGCTGCGTCCTGTTCCTGTCGTGGCTGTTCGTTGTGTTGGTTGTCAACTGAATCTTTTTTCATGGGTCATTTTGGTCGCACGATCGACCGACCGACTTGGTACCGGGTCGACTTCGATGGTGGTTTGTTTGTTTTTTTGTTGCGTGGCCTCACTCTGCGCGCGTTCGTCTCGTGAGAGTAGTTTTATTGCGGACAAGTTTGCACGGGCCTGTGGTGTTGTATTTGGTGTCTTTGTTTTTTTCCCTTTTTCTGCGTTTGGGTTTTACTAAATTTTCGTCTCGCCCGCGCGATTATTGTTGCACGTTGGAGGACCATCAAGGGGCGCTTGAGACGATGAGAGATCGGTGGGGAGGGGGGGGGGTCGTGTACATCGGAACAGTGGAAGGATTGAACAAAAGGAAATTAGGGCTTTTTGATATTTTGCTATTACATCTCCCGCGAGCGTTGTGAGTGCACAGCACGATTCTGTGGGGTGAGTTGTAGCTGTTTTTCTTGTCGTAATTTTTTTCTCTGCACATATGCATAGCAAGATAAGTTAAAAACATGTTGTCGGTGCCCTCGCGCGAGGTGTTCGCGCGTGGCATGTAGTACCGGTGTCACTTTCTGTGTATTGCGTAAGAAATCATTATGTTCTGGAGGCTGAGGGTCGCGTGTAATTATAGTGGCTGGTGGCAGTCAAGTCTACATCCCCGCGGTGTATGGGTGGGTCTGGTTGGGCAGCTGACCGGTTGGTTACAATAAGTTCTGTCATTGTGTATTGTTTCGTTCCTATTATAGGCGGATTGCGAGCGCTGCGGCAAGTACCATAGCTAGGCTTTTCTACTGCGTGCCCCCCTCCCTTCAAAACGCGGAGTGCGCATGGTGGATACGGCGAGCCTATCCCGAAGGGCTCGGAAGCTCCATCGTGTGCGTCTGAATGAACGTCTCCTTTGTGGTGTTTCTCATCTTGCTTGGAGGACGTGATACTTTTTTAGAATACGAAAACACGAGCAGTATTCTACGGTCCCATCTGCTATTTTAGTTCTTTCAGACGCTCACGATGGAGCTTCAGAGTCCCTCCGGGATAGGCTCGCCTTGTCCACCATGCGCACTCCGCGTTTTGAAGGGAGGGGGGCACGAAGTCGAAAGGCCTCCAAATAGGGGAGGCCCACTACACTCGATTGCTTGAGCGGCGGACGAATGTACCGGGCGCTCGTTTGGGGTGTTGGTGGCACCGCCCCTGCCTCGCTGTGCTTGTCGGTGCACGTACATCGCCTAGGCCACACACTCACACCCCCTCTTTTTGAGGAGTTTGCATTCGCTCGCGAATATCGCCAAGAAGAACAATGCCGAGAACGCTTCCCTGAGGAAGATTTTGCAAAAGCACTTAGTGGAAACCACGCCCCTGCCGAGACGACGCTGCTACGGTAGACACATGAAATCCACCACCGTCGCCCGTGGTAGTCCGTCCACGTGGAGTAAACCGATGCGCAATTGCGTGTGTTTCAAACGGGATGACGACAAGCTTGTCTTGCTGTGATTTCCCTCCGTCGGGTGTTGCAGGCTAGGGTTATCTATTAGTAGTCTAGACTAGACTATTCATGGGACAAAAAATACACCGGTATATATTTCCCGACGTCACCCCCCGCCTATTTGCATGCCATCCACATCCACAATCCACATCGTCCGTATTGTCTCATGCCTACGCCCCCCACCACGTACGCGTTCTCCACAAACCGGCGGTTGTAAGCCCGGCTGGCCAATACCAGGAGTGAGTCCATCCAGGCTCTTGGTGGGGCAAACCTCCAGGGCAGATGATGATTTACAGTCTTGATACAACAACCTGCGGCAAGCAGCGCTTTTTTGACAGCAATATTCCGCTGCGTGTATTCCCGCGTCGATTCCACTTTTTTACTACGCGAGTCGCATCGTTGAGATGGTTGTGTTCGGCGTGTTGATGATTGAGGAATCAATCGATACAAATGCGCCGACAACCGTGGCGGAAAAGTGAGCGCGAGATCTGAGAAACCATCTCGTGAACGAGCGAGTTGTATAGCCTGCAATCGTTCGTTCAACGCAGACTGCTGTAGATTGTCCAGCTTTCTCGCACACCGAGGGCTGCCTACCCATCTCAAGTCCAGGTAGACGCTGCAAAAACGGCCAAAGCCCTCCCTTTCTGCTGTACTGCACCGCTTCCGTCGGAATCCGCGGCACCCACGATTCCACCCCAGAGTGGGTACAGGTACTCTCTCCACATGTACGTCAAAAAACCTTCTGGGACTACTGTAAGATGCCGTACAACACGAACGACCTTGGGTGACACCACCCGTCATCCACGGATACCATGGAATGCGGTGTCCTCGGTATTCTATTTCGCCGCGAGGGTTAGACTATTTGCCAATTAGGAACCCCCGCGCCACCTTTCATTTTTCTCTCTCGCGCTCTTGAGCTCTCCAACTCGAAAGCCAGCTTCTTGTGCATGCCACGAAAGACCACCTCCCCAATGGATGAGATGTGGAGTTGGCCTCTGGAACTTGGTGCACTCGAGACACAGCATCATGGAATATAGATAAAAAAGCTTCCTGGTATGTACTTCTTGCCAAGCACTACAGTACCGTAGCTTCTATGGCACAACCGGGTCCACCCCTGTCATGCCCACGCCAAAGGTTCCGTCAAACACCACCTCTTGCGGCGGATATCGCCACCGCCTCGCCACACCATCACCGTCACCCTGCCCTTCCGGCTTTGACGGTGCGGGATAACCCGTGGGGACTATGATGGGAATGCTGTATCGGTCGGGGATGTCAAGCGCTGCCCTCACTCTGCAGCGCATAGGTGGCGGGAGGAGCGGGAGGAGGGGAGGGGGGGGGTCAACGGGGGCTAAGACATGGGAGATCTATTTTAGAAACATCCGTCTACATCTGCCTTGTCTTGATTACGCAGCAGTGCTTTACCATATCATAAGGGGTGGGACAAATGCGAGACACAAAGCCGAAGCCCACGGACATCTTTTGACAAAACCATGTACAGCCAAGCAGCAACAACATCTTTGCCAGATGGCGAAGCACACCGATCGACTTTGATGGAGGGAAAAGGCAGAATCGATATCAGAAAAACTCAGGCGTGTATGACCAGTCACCTTCTGGCGTCGAAGCCTTCCATGGGTGCCGTATCCAGCCCGTGCGCCGTGCAGGAAAGGATGTACGTCTGGACGGCAAGGGCGGTGTTCTTAAACGACCACGCCTCCGCCGATGCGACCTTGTGGTGCAGTTTCAAGAATAAGAACCGAACACATGCATGGAGGATCAATCAGGCTTTCCGGGTTTTTACAGACAGAGGCGGCATTTGCTACCCATAAATGAACAGACGCAAATACGTAGTCAACGCCAGACGGTTTGAGCATTGTCAGGGGATCGAATCGAAAACCGAGGACTTAAATCCAGAGAAAGAAGTCAGAACCGTCCTAGTCCTTGGATAATCAGTCCCCTGCGTGTTCACATCATGGCATGCGGTGGGACAAACCCTCATGCGATTTTTCGAACGCGACGGCCCTCTCGAGTGTATGTAGCCCAGAGTGCGGAACTGATCACAGAGGTAAAGATCCGTTGCGTGAGCGAGCCCGGGGTTCCCACAAACTCCGGGTGCCGTTTGCTGCAAACGAAAACGCGATGTTGGTCACAGCATATCCCGTCCACCACGCGCTCTCCCCAGGTGTATTGATTGGTTCGGCCATTGGGTTCTATGCAGCAGCCGCTTTTTCGTTATTCTAGCTCGACAGGGAAAACCTTTCGCTATATGTTAGGCTTACCTCCGGCGCTGGCTGCATAGGAGAGGCGATAGTGGTGACCGCGTTCCGCACGGCGTTGCCCACCATTCCCTCCCCGCTGAACAGGTTAACCGCCAAGCAAACCTAGAAAAAATGGGGGAAGCACACAAAAATGAGTTTCGTGCAATGGTGGCAGCTGCGCCAGCGGTAAACAAAACATGAGCACCACCACCACCAACGACGACAGCAACAGTGCCTCTTTGCTAAGAATTTTGTCCCAAAAGACGGGCCAAAACATAGACAGCTTTGGACCGCCAACCATCGGGTCGTCAGAAAAGCACAGCGCATCATGAACGGCACTTTGACAGGCGAGATGGGTAGAAGGTGATACGCATCGTGTCTTACCGGTCAACAAATCTCACCGAGATAGTCGGGGTTGCTTTTTGAGAGTCATGGCACGGGTGGAAATGTAGCTCGTAGTGCGAACTGGAAATTCGAACCGCCACTTCGGGTACCTACTATCAAACTGCGGTTTGTGAACGGTAAGCGGTCATGTAGACTGTTCTGCGGCAAGTTGGAAGCAACTTGAACACAGTAACAGTTCTGTTCTAGTTCCACATGTGATGTACCCGGTGAGGATATCATCGCGCGGACAGCATAATTGAAACTGCATAGTGCGAATGTGAACACGGAAGAGCCGGCCCGCATTTGTCGACGAGTGCGCCCAAACCTTGGTGATCTCGGCCTCGGGCATGCCCGCCTTTCGGTTCAGCTCCACCATCCGGTTGATGCGCTTCGACGGTTCTGCGACGGGTTTAGACAGGCGCCACCGGAACGGCATGTGCGTGAGTGGAGTGGATGTGTCGATTTATCTAAGAAGAAGTGACGCCTGGCAGTGCGACAAATGGTACTTTCCTACTCCAGTAGTAGGATGATGATGTGGTGGCAACTCTTTTGCCAACGCAAAGCTGCCGTTCGTACAGGCAAGCGGGGGGGGTGATGCGATCAATACCGACCCCGTGTTTCGGTACCTTGCTTCGTGTCGAAGCGGACCGCTAAAATTACACTTTCCGTTGCCTGGGCTTGCGTGACGGGCGTCAACACAGGCAGCTCCCAATTGGGCCGCCTTGCACAACCTCAACGGTGCCACCGTACACGCTACCGATAGAGAGAGAGGCACCGAGCAAGGATTTTGCTTGGGTTCACGCCACAAGCGGAACACGGAGCTGTGCCGGGTGGAAGCCAAGCATGCAACGAGGTGGCACCGGACGTATGATGCGGTCGAGACATCGTCCCACCCCCATTCGACAAGTTGGCGGTTTTGACACGATGCGGTAGAGACATCGTCCATCCACACCCGACAAGTTGACGGTCTCGATATCGTCGTCTTCGACTAAATAGGAAACCGACCAGTTCGTCAAATACCACTCTGAGCTACTCCTCCATCTAGAACAAACAGCACTGGGGGTCGGACAGTAAGCGAGCAACAACAACATATATTCCCAATGCAAACACTCGCCCTGCGACGGCGTTCCGCGTCATGTTGGACCGGCATGGATGTCAGAAGGCACCGCTTGCGAGCAGAGACCGGAATGATAGACAACGACAACAACAACACGCGCTCACCCAAGTCGGCGCAGAAGACGGCCGTGACAGGAGCCGCCAGGACTTTCTTCGCGTTGCCGCCTAGCATCGCCGTCGACAGCCGCTCTCTTGCGGCGGTATCCCTTACCACTACCACGCTCCAGGGTTGGATGTTGAACGACGAGGGGGCGCTGGAGTCGGGGGGGGG